TGCAGCTAGAATATCTTCTCTGCTGTTTATTCACAAGTATGGTTACAATATTCAAGCCGTTGCACCTAGATATATCTGAAGTAATAATTTTCATTATTAAAAGAGATTATAGTGTCTTATCATGTTCATACCACAGGTGAAATGGCATAGGTGAAGAAAATTAGATGAACAGTGTGATGAACAGTTTTCAGTGAAGGCCACAGTCTGAGCAGCAGCAAGTCATATATGGTTACATGAGATTCTAAAATAGCGGAATCTTCCAGAAGTTTAGATGAATCTCATATTGATCTGTTATTTCTTGCAAAACATGGCAGTGAGTACCTTATAATGCAAATCAGTGTTCTAACGGGGGTGATGCATTTCAGATAGTGTGGACAAATTATGGGAAACAGCTGCATGAAAAGCTAATACTCCAAAGGACAAGACAAAAACAGTGTGAATGAAATTACTCAGTAGCCCAAAGCTTGTTATCTTAAGAGTCTTATTGAAGTGAAAAATAATACCATGCATTAATTGTTTGTGCTTTCTCCATAACATCTGGTCATGGTCGCTCTAGTGCCAAGACACTGGTGATTTCCAAGTCAATGAACTGCTACATTTTCTGTGTTCCTTATTTAGTACTGCTTTTTAAGAAGTACTATTTTTACAGTGTGTTTCTTATGCTGAATTTAGCCTACTGATTAGAGGGTTAAAGTCGCATTTTTTTCCTTTGTTAGAATGGAGTATAATTTGCATGGAAAAGTTCCTATGTTTAAAATTAGGGAAATTAAACTGACCTGATTTTATTTAAAACACAACATTTCTGAGTAGGTCTTGATTTACCTTAAGAGTGGTAGCAGAAGAAGCTTATGGCTGCCTGTTCATTTTCTCTTTAAAAATTCCTTATTTTTTAAATGGTAACATCATAGTACTCCTTGCTAACATGTACTTCACCTTTCCATTAACTTATATTATGTAATTTATTAAAAGTGCTTGTCCATGCTGAGATTCTCAAAGAATTCTATGGTGTGCTATTCAGGGTGAGTCAGCCTTGCCTTTAAAATATAGCTCTTAGAAGGAGAAAAAAATGAATTGATGGTGATGAACCTGACCTTAGGAGTGAGTCACAGGGAAAAAATACATAAGACAAGATCAGAAGATTCTCCATTTTTCCTTTCTAAGTACCTGTAGATTGGAGGTTTTTTTTTCTCTCTGGGGTTAATTCTGTTAATATATCATTAAAATAGAGAACCATCACAGGGGCTGATAATTGGAGTGCTCTAATACAGTCATGCCAGGTTATTAAGAAAAAATAAGTCTCAAAGAAAAAGAGCCACAAATAAATGGTGTATAACATTTTTTTTAAACAAAAGTAATTGATGGATGAGCAAACTAGCACACAGGGCAACAGATGCCTTTCTCCAGGCAATGTAGAACCTTGTTACCCTGACAGTGGTGTCAGATTGTATTAAATCTACAGAAGTCATCCTCCTACCGTGACTTTTTATAGTCAGTCCTCATATCTGTGAGAGAGTTTCTACTTTTGCTCTGCTATGAACACACATTTTTGCCTTCATTTCTGCACTTAGAAAGATGCAGCTTATATATAAGGTAACACAATTTCTTTTTAATGCCTTTTCTTTTGAATATGTAATGGATATTTCTTTATTAATAATCTTACAGGTTTTTTAAAGTATATACTAGTATGTGAGTCTTTAAATTCCTGTAGTGCTCTGGTCACCCCTTAAAAAATGGCATATTGCAGGACTGCTTGTGTTTGTATACATTTGGGAGGGCTGTCAATTTCCTGATTCAGTTTACTCTGCCAAGGCTGAAAAGATCATCCTTAGTGTTGTTTGCTTATATCAAAATGCCTGAAGCATTCCTTACATCCAGCAGGAAATAGCCTTGCTGTTCAGAATTTTGTCTGACACGCTAAAGACACTTCAGAATCTTTTTGCAATTTGTGCTACTTATGGTCCTGACATGAATACAGCTTGTTTGACATACCACCCCATTCATAATATATATAAGTATAGTTTATGTATTTACCTTGGTAAAAAAGGTTAAGCAGGAGCTCTGTGCAATGGCTGCCTACATTTGTTAGAAAAGCTTTGGTTTGGTTTCTTCTGTAGCTGGTTGATGCTAGCTGTGAAAATTCTTTCAGGTTTTTTCTGGGAGAAGGTGAAATAGTTCTACATACAGCTTCTATTGTTTCTTTCCTTATCATTAATTTTCCACATTAATTTCTCTGTAAAATTTTTTGATGCATGTTAGACTAGTAATTAAGTTGCTTCAAGCCCTTCATTTTTTAAAATGGGTATTGTGTAGCAAGATCATTAGAAAGGGAGTGACAGACCATTCAAGTAACAATTGAAATCCAATGGCAAGACTCTGGAGACTGATGAGAAGCTTTTTTTTGGAAGTATGAAGTACTGCTTCCTTTTCACTTGCATGTTAGTCTACTAACATTTAGTTAACATTTACCTTTACACTGTGTCTTGGACTAACTGACTTGAGTTCTTAATATTCATGCTACTTGTCTTTATTAACAGCTGCAATGGATTGGTTTGCATAGGTTAAATGTTAGACCCTGTTTGACTGTAGTAAAATGTTACATCCTAGTCAAAATTAAATTGTCAGAATTGTTACATACAGTGAATAAATTAGCAACAGGGGAGAGGGCAGCAGGGAAAGAAAGCACAAAACTCATTAAATTTGTAAAAAGAAGGAAAAATCTATTTGTATAAAAATTAGGATGAGGGAAGAGCAAATGGTAATGCTATCCACAGATTTGGTTTTTGTACTGGTTTACTGTCGAGGAGTTTAAAAATCTGAATTATGTCAAGCTCTGAAATGAATTGTGAAATCCCATTCCAAACAATAACAGAGTGGTTCCTCATTTCATGTGCCCTTTAGAATTTAGCAGAGTTATTAAATGGAGAGTGAGAGATTCTGTAGTGGAGAATCCCTAGCATTCACAGGCAGGCTGGAGGCAAGAGGCACGTAGCTAGCCTCCTGCCAGAAAGTCTGTCACTTGTGATGGCTGCCCTATGTATTTGGTGACCTCTTCTTCCTGTTAACTTGAAGGTTCTATTTGGAATTGACAGTTGTAAGAGTTGAAGTGAGAAGTGTTGCCCTGTTGTTAATGCGTTCAGTGCTGGCTGCCAAGTAAGGGAGAGAGAATGGAAAAACACACTCTTTAATGCAGTACGGTGTCTTAAGGAAACAGCCTTCCTGTGCAAGAGGAAACACAACAGGGATTTTCAAAAGACATCTGTCTCCCTTAAAATGTGTTTGAAGTTTCAAAGCTCTTTCAGTATCCAACCATAAAATCCTAATAAAGACAACTCACAATGTAGTAAAATTATAATCCAATGGTCATGAGAAATGTTGAGAAAGAACATAAACTGTGTTGAAGTACTGTTCTTGTATACTACACAAAAACAAGCTTGTGTTCCCCTTTGGGCAATAGTATGTGCTGCTTCAGTCAGCCACATCATGGGTTACTTTCAGAGATATGACTGATAACAGTATGCAGTAGCTAAATTATTGCAGCGAATCTGTCAGAGCCTCTGTTGGAAGGGTTCATTGCTGTTGAGAAATTACTGGAGTCAACAAATTATTGAAACTAATATTGTGGAAATTTCTGAGTTGACAGTAACTATGACTTGGATCATTTCAGAAGACATAGATCAATAAAGGAACTTAGGTAAAATTTGCAAGACTGATTCAGTTTCTAGCTTTTGCGGCATTATTTCTCTGAGACCTTGGATGAGTAGTTTATTATTTGTTCCTTAATGCTTTTTCTGAGAGCAAGCAATATAAGTTTTACAAGTATACATGTGCTTGTGTCTCTTCTGAACACACTGGTGATATATATACAAATACATTCTATCCTTACTGCAAATGAAAATTTTGCACCTGAGTTCTAGTTGCTGGGTCTCAATCTGTGTATTTTTTAGGCTAGAGGTGTGCCAGTAATTCCTGCTGCTGTTTTGGGTGATGATCTTTAAGGATTTAGTTGTAATGGGGAACACAGGTGGGCTTTATCCTGGCAAATGGGAAAGGATAGTAAGAGAAATTGCTGCTATGATGAACAGAGATACAAGTGAAAAAAAAATAGGCCTGTAACTACAGACCAATAGTTACTACCTTAATGAATGAACTTGTGCAAAAAAAAAAAAAAGAAAATGTTAGAAATATCAAAGGATGTGTCTATTGTTTCCTAAGCTGCATGTATTTTGATATGTGTGACATAACAAAGCATTTCCACCCCTCTAGTTTGACCTTTAACTGTATATTTGCATTTCAGTTCCTTTTCCTTTTTTCCTCCTTATAATGCTGTCTAAATACATAAAAACATGTTCCTGAAGCTGCAGTTAATACCTTGATCTTTAGGCATAGGTGACTTACCTTCTGACTCCCATCTGCTTTTCTGATTTGCCTGCCAATGTAGTACACAGTTGCTCTACCCAGATTATAAAAATGTTTGTATTAGAATGTGTATATATACCTATATTATAAATGGTTATAAATTATAAGTAAAGTGAAGCATTAGAATATAAGAACATCTACATGAGTACTGGTTTTTGGCTTTTGCCCTCAAAATGCCTTCTGAAGCCTTAAGTTTGGTAGCATTGCCCTTTTTCTGGGAGCTGTCTCTTTCACTTCCCAGCTCCAAGTGAGGCAGTCAAATCTGAGCCTTTTGTTACATCCATGGGGAGATTTTTTTATCACTATTTTTATAGGCACCAGGCCTGCCAAGTCAGGTTATCTGTCTTTGCCTGCACATCTTTAATCAGATCATCTACTGAAAACATGTGGGTTTACGACAGAGCCAACTGTAATTGCAAGCTAATCTGCTGCTTCTGCACCTTCAGCCTTTGGCTCTCTGCCTGATATTACCCTTAATAGTTTGTTAATACCAAATAATGCAAAAACATTGCTTCCTTAAGCACTTAATAGGATATACTGTAATGGAGATAAGTGATCTATAACACTATTTACTTGTGTTTTAGGAAAATGAACTGAAGGATGCTGTGCAAGAAAAGAACCGCCTGAGCCTCCAGTATGCAAGTGTGTCCCAAAAAGCACTGCAGTATGACCAGGTAACATCATGAGCACATACATTTTTTAAAAATTCCTATAATGCATATTTTCTGTAAATTGGTATTAGGCTTTAGTAAAAAGACCTTTTCAGTTACTTTGATAAGACTTGTTTGAAAAATGCTCTTCTTTTTCTGAAAACTAGTGATAGAAATAATATATAGTAGGTTTTCTTTCTACCTTTCTTCATTTTTTCCTTGCATTTTCAAATTTCTCAATGAAATGTTGGAAAGCTCTTGCCCAGCAGCAAATGTAAAAAACTCTAGCAGTTATTTTCCTGATAGCATGACATGTAGTCTCAGCTATACCAGGTTCTGATACGAAAACTGTTTTAATAGTAAGCATTTTTGTTCACTTCTTTTTTGTGCCAGTTATGGGACACAAAAAATACATTTCTGAGTACAATGTGATTTTATCTGTGGCCAACGCTGCGTGGTGTGACTAGCATGGAAGGAGAGGCTGATGTGCCCTGCCTCACCACAAATGCATACACTGGAAGAAACGTCATCAACCAGCCACTTTTACAGGCTACATTTAGCTAAAAATAAAACTCCAATCTGGCATTTCTAAAGGCTTAAGTGAGTTGCTCGGCAACCTCATTCATATCAGAAGAGCTGTAACTCTCTGATGAAAGCCCATCCTGAAAGCTTGCAAAAGAGTGGTAGCCGCATGCTGTGATATCTCTGACGTGGGTGTCACAGCCCGCTGCTACATTTCCAAACCAGAGGAGGTCTGATTAAGTCTTGCGACAATGCAAATTGCTAAAATTCAGAGATGGCATGTTCCCTACCTTTTGTCTGTAGCACCCGGTATCGAAGCAGACCTGAAATTTCCTGTTGCTGAGGAATCTAAATGTTTTTTTATATAAAAAGACCGTGTAGTAATACTTTATGATAGAAGGAAGTCGTGTGTATCATAATATCACTTCATTTTATTCATCCATCTGTCTAGAATTTCTTCGTTCCCTGGTGTTTTTCTCTTTTCTTCATTGTTTACACATTACCTATATTCTTTACTTCATGAGGTACACGAAGAGAAAGTCTTACTTAGGCAGTTTTATATTCTAGCTGATGTAGGAAGAGCACGGAGTGTTAGTGCAGTGAAAGCTCAGTACATTGGTGATGCTGAAAATGTCCCTCTTATTATCAGAAAGTGAAGAACTATGTGCTTAATACTGATTTATTACAGGTGACGTTTGTCTCTTACTATAGTGAAGAGCTTGAGGTACACTGAAAAAGCTAGTAGAAGCAATTTAAAATATAAAGGTGAAATGTCAATCTTTGACACATTAGCCACTAAGTGCTGAAATTACATTTACTATAGTAGTGTCAGAATTCATTATACTATGGGTTTTTATTTCTTCAAATATATTAGATACTGTGAAAGACACAATGCAACGATTCTGGATGCCTGTGCTATTAATTTAATATCTCAGCCTCAGTAGGATCAAAGACTTGCTTTAAATGCACCGTCTCTTTTAATAATTTTAACAACATACAATCTTTGCAATTTACCTTGAATGTTAAAAAACCTTGTGTTTTCCTTCTTACATAACAACCTTTCTGAGGGAATTACCTGGGTTGAAGATACATTGTGCAGTTTAGATTACATTTTACTATTTGGAAACTGTGAAACTATTCAACTTTGGATGTGGAGACTGGAGCAGAATTCTAACAGAATTAGGGCTCAGCCCTGAAGGGGAAAACCTGCCTAAAGTAATTTATTCTTTTTCACCCTTGAGAGCTGGACTGAAAAACAGGCCAATTTAATCCACGCTAATGGAGGAGTGTTTATGCATTGTTATGTAGCACAGATAAAACTACTGTTAATATTTACATATTGTAGTTGCTGAAATTTGACTCTAAAAAGGAGTAGGTAAGAGGCTGACCATCTATAAATCCATAGAATAAAGCTAAAATTGTACTTAACTTAAATGATTTGGTTTTGGTACTCTGTATCAGAGTAACAAAATTGTGTTCCTGGGGTGATGTACTTGTGAAAAGATTCTATGTTGATAGAAGTGCTATGACACCAGGCTCCAACTTGTTTCCTGCTCATCTGAGTACATATGGGCTGGTGTTTTTATGTAAAAATTGCACAGACATTATACATTTAGAAATTCTTTCCAAAAAACCTGAAATCATACCATTTTCCTAGTAGTTTCTGAATAATGTTTCCTGAACAATACAAGTCATTTGAGACATTGGCAGGTTACTGAAATCTAGAATAAAGGCAGATGGTGGGTTATGAGGCCTGTGGAGCTTTTCACCAATTAAATGAACTGCTGATTCCTTTTGGGTGTGCTGGTGTTCAAGAACAAGTTTCTATTTAAGTATTCAAGAAGTAGAAGACACTTTAGCAGTGTTCTGGCCTTCATAACTCACTCAAATGGGGACACATTTAGTAAGTGTGAAGATATGGGATGAAAAAAAATAAATTGCTTGATGCATTGAACAGAGGAACATTACAGATCAAAATGATCCCTGTTTTTGTCAATTAGAACCATTTATGATGGCACTCTATTTAGGTCAACTGTTTTTGCCACTGGGAACACTGATTTTTTTTATGTGCTCTGTATTTAATTTAAGTTCATGTATATCCCATATGTTCTTAAACAGCCTGCTTGGAGGGAGCACTAAATTCACATTTAAGGACAAATGTTGTCTAAACAAAAAAAAGTAAATTATAGATGAATCAAGTTTTATGCTGCCTTATGGGTTATATAAATGTGTATCACAGCATTCTATGCAGTACAAAATCTCTGGAGAAGAAAGTCTGGCAAGAATGCCCTGAAGAAATGGTAAAAGTTATTGTTGCTGGCAGTAACAGGAGGAAGATGGTTGGTAGATTTGCAAAATGAAAACGTACACAGAACTTTGTTTGAAACCTGACCTGCCAAAAGAGAAAGTAGAGAGTTTATCAGAAACATTTGTGTATTCCTAAACTGTAATTTAGGTGTGTGCTTTAATGAAAGATCCTGAGATGTGTAAAATATCGACAGTTCTGCCTGTCTCTGATTCATCTCTTTCCAAAATTACATTAGCAGTCTGATAGATACTGTTTGTGCTGGTAGCCCCTTCACTGGCAGCAGGGAAAAACACAGCAGAAAGGTACTATGCTCACTAGCTCCCAGAATTCAGACTGTGATGACTAGTAAGTTTCAGGAGATTCTTTACAAAGGTAGTCAGTTGGTATAAATTATTTTAGAGAGAGGGAAGTTTCAAGGAAAGGTTATTTTCCTCTGTAAGCTAACTGAGAATCACAGTAACAAAATTGCATTGTTGATGGTGATACCTCATTGCTTCCTTTTCCACTTGATTATTCTTCAACAATATACATTGACCTGAGCAATGAAATACAATACAAAGGATACAGGAAGTTAACAGATTCTGAAAATCCATTGTTTATTAGTTTCTGAAGTTACAGAGAAATGAGGGAAGAGGAAAAGAAAAATCTGTGCACAGAAAAAAAAATCAAGGGGTTGACAATAATTGCATCAGTTTTTGTGGAAAACATTATTTGTACCATTTTCCTGTGTCTTTTCTAGTTCACTGCACTCTTAAGAGCCCTCTTACAAAAGGGAATACACGGGCTGGCTGCAACCATTTAGATTGTTTGGTCCATGGCAAAATTTGCAAGTTAACAAATAGGACCTGGAAGGCAAATAGGCTGAATCAGTTTCTAAAATACCATTTCAGAAAATATGCAGGAGATATGCAAGTCAAAGATTGCTTAATGCTATGTGTTCTTTAAAAACACCATGTAATTACAGTTAATTAAATTAAAAAAAAAAAAAAAAAAAAAAAAAAAAAAAAAAAAAAAAAAAAAAAAAAAAAAGGAAAAAAAGTACTGGTCACTTCCTGAACTGAAGTTTGAAGGAAACATGAGCTGCACCAATATTAAAGCCTGTGCCTTATCCCAATAATTTCTACTGCTTTGCTTTCTTTAGCCAGCAATCCTGCCAGCTGTAGTGCTTCTGTGCTCTGCTGCAGTTAACAAAGGAAAAGAGATGCTTCTTGAAACACTGTAATACTGTAATACTAAAAATATTGTGGCTCTTTCTGTTGCTTTCTTATCTTCTATCAACATCAATGGGAAGTGGAAATAGTACATGAATGTTATGTATTCTTTTTACCCAGGTGTTTATTGCTGGTGGGTTTTCATTCTTTATATAAAAAATGCAACCCTATTGTTATACATCAAGACAGGACATGAAGTCATAAAATTTCCAGTGATAAGAAATCAAATTTTCAGCTGATCTGAATTGAAGAAAGAACTTTCTATGGCAGGATAAAAAAGTTTAATATTGTACTTTTTTGTTGTCTGAGTGTTTATGAAGTAGTTACTATTGCTGATGATTCACAAACCTTGTATAAAAAGACAGTCATCTGAAATGGTTAAGCTGGCACCAAGTAAATTAAATTAGAAAACAAATCCTACTTGGTGAGTATCTAATCTTCAAAAACCTCTGCTTAAACATTTAAAGGGAGAGCAAGGATTGTGTTACAGAAGAACACATTTTTGAATAGTAGAGACACTGATTTCAAATGTTAGCAAAGGCTGATGATGTATAATTGAGTTTATTCTGAAGCTGATCTACACTAAAGAATAGTCCACAAAAATGTACACGTGAGTTATATATTTCTATATATACATTAGATCTCTGCCTTTTTTTACTCTCTCCTACCTATGAGATCCAGAGAAATAGGAATTGCTTGATTGTAATTTATTTTGTGCATATATAGTATTTTTCTTTAACTTGTGCAAACTACTGTTTGGTTGCCAGATAGTGGTCCTTGTTGAAAGAAAAAGTGCATACATGTATGAACAAACACCATTTCCTCATTGAATATTCCCTTCCATTTTCTGTGCTTTTTTCATATTGTCTTTGAACTTCTTTTCTTCTGTATTTTAACATGCAGAAATGTTTGTGTCATGTATAGTTTTCCCTTCACTAATTAGCTGTTTGAGTAATAATAACATTTTAATTTTTCTAGGTAAAATCAGACTATGACCATCTTAGAGAAACCCTTCTCAGAGTGACCAAAGAACGAGATTTGGCTTTAAAGGGAAAACACCAGCTCCAAGCCAAGCTGGAGAACTTAGAGCAGGTCCTAAAGGTATGTATAATGCTGTAAAGCTCAATGATCAAATACTTACGTTGCTTGTTGAATGTTCCTGATGTTCATTCAGAGAGTCACAGAAGCTTAAGTGCATTGCAAACTAGGGGACTGAATCCTCCTGTTAGTTATGATTAAATGGAATACAGTAAACCAAGTACCTACAAGGTGGTGTCAAACTATTGGAGGAGAGACATCTTTAGAGTTCTTTATCTGATACTTTCTAAGTAATGGGATGTAGGTTTTCACTGTACAGCTCCAGAGGGACTGCACCTCCTGGGAAGGGCTCACAGAGAAGTTGATGGAGGACTCTCCCATGGGAGAGACCTCATGGGGAAGCAGGGGAGGACTGTAAGAAAACTTTCTCCCTGAGGAGGAAGGAGCTGCAGGAAAGAACAGACTGTGAAATGACTAAACCCCATCCCCTGTGCTGCTGGGGGGAAGGAGGGAGAGAAATTGGGAACAAAATAATTTGGCTGGGGAAGAAGGGAGGGATGGTGGCAACATATGTAAGCCCTGCTCTTTGTGTTGTCTGTGTCTTGTGTGCATTTGATTAGTGTTAAATTCAACTATTATTTTCCCCAAGTTGAGTCTCTTTTGCCCCTGACTGTAAATGATAAGCCAACCTCCTTGTCCTTTGTCTCGACCCACGAGCTTCTAGTTGGCCATTGTCCTCCCTGTCCCAGTCTGTGTGGGGGTGTTGAGTGAGCGGCCACGTAGTTGGTAAATAGTACATGAATGTTATGTATTCTTTTTACCCAGGTGTTTATTGCTGGTGGGTTTTCATTCTTTATATAAAAAATGCAACCCTATTGTTATACATCAAGACAGGACATGAAGTCATAAAATTTCCAGTGATAAGAAATCAAATTTTCAGCTGATCTGAATTGAAGAAAGAACTTTCTATGGCAGGATAAAAAAGTTTAATATTGTACTTTTTTGTTGTCTGAGTGTTTATGAAGTAGTTACTATTGCTGATGATTCACAAACCTTGTATAAAAAGACAGTCATCTGAAATGGTTAAGCTGGCACCAAGTAAATTAAATTAGAAAACAAATCCTACTTGGTGAGTATCTAATCTTCAAAAACCTCTGCTTAAACATTTAAAGGGAGAGCAAGGATTGTGTTACAGAAGAACACATTTTTGAATAGTAGAGACACTGATTTCAAATGTTAGCAAAGGCTGATGATGTATAATTGAGTTTATTCTGAAGCTGATCTACACTAAAGAATAGTCCACAAAAATGTACACGTGAGTTATATATTTCTATATATACATTAGATCTCTGCCTTTTTTTACTCTCTCCTACCTATGAGATCCCGAGAAATAGGAATTGCTTGATTGTAATTTATTTTGTGCATATATAGTATTTTTCTTTAACTTGTGCAAACTACTGTTTGGTTGCCAGATAGTGGTCCTTGTTGAAAGAAAAAGTGCATACATGTATGAACAAACACCATTTCCTCATTGAATATTCCCTTCCATTTTCTGTGCTTTTTTCATATTGTCTTTGAACTTCTTTTCTTCTGTATTTTAACATGCAGAAATGTTTGTGTCATGTATAGTTTTCCCTTCACTAATTAGCTGTTTGAGTAATAATAACATTTTAATTTTTCTAGGTAAAATCAGACTATGACCATCTTAGAGAAACCCTTCTCAGAGTGACCAAAGAACGAGATTTGGCTTTAAAGGGAAAACACCAGCTCCAAGCCAAGCTGGAGAACTTAGAGCAGGTCCTAAAGGTATGTATAATGCTGTAAAGCTCAATGATCAAATACTTACGTTGCTTGTTGAATGTTCCTGATGTTCATTCAGAGAGTCACAGAAGCTTAAGTGCATTGCAAACTAGGGGACTGAATCCTCCTGTTAGTTATGATTAAATGGAATACAGTAAACCAAGTACCTACAAGGTGGTGTCAAACTATTGGAGGAGAGACATCTTTAGAGTTCTTTATCTGATACTTTCTAAGTAATGGGATGTAGGTTTTCACTGTACAGCTCCAGAGGGACTGCACCTCCTGGGAAGGGCTCACAGAGAAGTTGATGGAGGACTCTCCCATGGGAGAGACCTCATGGGGAAGCAGGGGAGGACTGTAAGAAAACTTTCTCCCCGAGGAGGAAGGAGCTGCAGGAAAGAACAGACTGTGAAATGACTAAACCCCATCCCCTGTGCCGCTGGGGGGAAGGAGGGAGAGAAATTGGGAACAAAATAATTTGGCTGGGGAAGAAGGGAGGGATGGGGGCAACATATGTAAGCCCTGCTCTTTGTGTTGTCTGTGTCTTGTGTGCATTTGATTAGTGTTAAATTCAACTATTATTTTCCCCAAGTTGAGTCTCTTTTGCCCCTGACTGTAAATGATAAGCCAACCTCCTTGTCCTTTGTCTCGACCCACGAGCTTCTAGTTGGCCTTTGTCCTCCCTGTCCCAGTCTGTGTGGGGGTGTTGAGTGAGCGGCCACGTAGTTGGTTCTTGTCATGTTAGGCCAAAACCACGAGAGTTTGGTGCATAACCACCTTTCTTTTAACAGGTTTTAAGAGAAGCTTAGTACGATGGTATCTAGCCATGCTTGTTTTCTAGATGCACAGTTGTTTTAATCTCATCAATTTACTGCTTTCTTTTCAACTTAGAAAAATTCAGTAGTGCATTGTGAATAATAAATTTATTCTTCAATGGAGCTTTAACTGTTTAATGGAAAATGTCTTTGTTTCTGGTCCTAGTTATTGTGTGTAATGCCATGGGACACACCGATGCTGTGAAATAGTGGGATTCACCAGGTGAATCTAGCAGAGACAAGATCTAGCTGAGATGATGGGTAGAGTAAGAGTAAAATTCAGTTGGAAAATGGGATCAACAAAGAGATTCTTACTTATAAGTTAATTCAAAGGGGCAATAAATAAATAAATTTGAAATAAAGTGCAAAAAACATTATAGCAGTGGGAAGGAAACAGTGCTTTACTAGGAAACAGCTAAATTCCCAAAGTGTCATTGATTAAATAAAAATGGAAGACAGTAACTTGATAAGCCAAACCTGGTAGGTGGATCAGGAGTAATGGAGAAATGTCCCTTACAGACACTGAGCTGGTGTCTGTTATGATGGGATAGAAGCAGCCAGTGGAAGGAAGCATATGAATGATAGAAACACAAACTGGTTTGAATGGACTGCTGCTCCTAGGTTTTCTTAGTTATAGAAAATATGGAAATTGTGGTGTGGAAAACTGGCACCAAATAATGTCTTGAAGAGGGTTAAGCATCTAAGATTATTAAAACAAAATAATAAAACCCCATAAAGTCATGCAGTTACAGCTGTTTGCAAGAGTGGAGGGACTGCACTGGTGAGGACTATGGTGAGAATTCTTGAGAGAGAAAACACTTTAAAATACTTCTCTGTACTTCAGACCATTCATAAAATGAAGGATGCAAGTGTCTCATTAGAATGGAGCATCAATTCAGTGCTGAAACTTTTCTGACAGACTGCCAAAAAAGCTGCTTATTTTTCATCTTCTCAAGCCAGAGGTTTTACTTTCTCTAACCACTGAAGTGGCAATTACAATGGGATGGATGCCCTGGGAGTAGGAGGAGATGGAAATGAAAAGTAGTGGTCTGAAATTTTAAATTTCAAGCAAGACTTTGGTTGACAAAATGTTTTAATAATGCTAAGTGGCTTCAGCCAATGCTTATCTTAAATACAATCACTTATTTAAAATTTTATTTATAAATGATCTTGACTTGCATCAGACTCGCTCTAAAAGGGGAAAAGTAGTTTTGCTGTTGGCTGCATCAGAATAGATCCGGACTTTTGGAGATGGTTGTAGTGATGAAAATGGCTACCTGTCTGAATCTTCAGGTCAGATTTTATTTTTGTTTGTTACTCTGGTAAATATTTTGTTGAAACCCACTCTCAAGCTTTATTTGATAGTACTCAAGAGGTGAGGAGAAGGTTTTCCAATTACAGATGGAAACAAAAGGGGTTTATAAGTTACGTCCTTCTTGCTCAGCCTCCAAAAGACTGTGGGGTTTTCAAGAGTAAGCTGACTGCTTGATAAACCAACTTATTTCAGCAGCTTCTGGAGACATGAGCTGTTGAAATCACACGCTAGGCAATGCCAAAGGGAAGTCAACTTTTAAACATATTTTGTGCAGTGAATTATCAGTGTCCTATTTGCCAGTCAATAGGTAGCACTGATAGCATAATTCTGGAATTATGTGCAAGTAAGAAATAGTTGTACTGGGAAAGGAAAATTAAACTGCTTAAATAAAAAGAAGAGTGATGCAATTATCTGTCTTTAGACTAATACTGCTCTTCCTAGGAACAAGGAAGAAGTTTTTCTCTAGCAGTGAAAGATGTGCAAGTAGAATCAGCACCTAGAATCTATTTCAAGAGATACTGTTTTGGCTGTGCTCTCTATATAGTGACTGTGGGATTCCAGCTTGATAACTGCAGAAATTCACTTCAAAGAGCACATAGTAGAAAGAGGAAAAAAAGTCTAAAAAAGAAATGAACTGTGAATTCATGGCTCATAAAACAGCTGAGGTTTAAATTTTGTTGTAAGTAAATTGGCATTAATTTTCATTTCATCAAATCAAAATACAAATTGTTATTTTCTGGACTTCTTTGCTGCTAAAAAAAGCCCTACTTTCATGAGCAATAAAACACTTCTCTT